CAAGTTGCAATAGGCAGCAGAGGGGGATGTTTACATGCCACACGAAGCGAAGTTGACCTGATATGTAGCGATTGGTGGGTGACAAGCCCTCTGAAAGCTACATATTCAAGTCAATGCATGTGGTTGTGGTGCGATTATCATCATAAATGGGGTTAAAACAGGCAATGAGAAGCCATTGCATCGCTTCCTCACCGCCTGTCAGTAACCACGCAATCCAGAATTGGATCAGGATTCAGAGGTGAGGGAGATTTAGATGCATGCCTAAATCTAGCCTGTCATGTATTCCTGAGTGCCTTATTGGTCTACATGTGTCTGTGATAAAGCCAATGTTCAGTTCAGTGTGAATGCATACACATCATGTGGTTCCCTTTGAACCAATAGATTGTTAAATAAAACCAATTTAATGCAAACAAAATAAATCAGCCAATTGCAGGCACTGTGGGGCAAATGTTTTACATGCTGCTTGCACAGACAAATGTTGATGCCTATCAATGTCTTAGGCCAGGTTCACATCTGTGCAGCTGTGCGGTCCCCAATTTGCACAGGCACAAGAGCCCATTCATTTGAATGGACTCCCGCGCCCTGGGACAGGCAGGGAAGAAGTCAGAGGTTCCTAGTACTGTTGCGGTTTCCATTACGGTTGCGGTTTCCAGTATGGTTGTGGTTTCCAGTACGGGCGGCGTGCCATTAGAATTAAAGGCACCCACCTGCGGGTCCCACATTCCAGTGTGTAGGTGGTGCGGCTGCAGGTATTTGTGCGGGACCCGCAGTGGCACCACCCGCACAGATGTGAACTAAGCCTCAGTCTGCAGAGTCTTTATCAGATAAACATGATCAGCTACATTTATATGATCTTCTCAGAATGTGTTAGTGTTTTAGGGACCTTATTTTTCCATATAGTTTGCAAATATATTTGTACCTTCACCTTTGCATATTGCATACACATTCTTTGCTTCTTCCTAGTGGGTGTTCTCTATTGCTTTATCACAATGCAAGTCTGAGTTGGCTGGCTTATTGAAAACAATGCCCTCCCTGTGGGGCTGATTAGTTTTAGAAAAGGGAGGTGGAGTAACTGAAAGCTGAGTGTTGGCTCCCTCTAGTGAATATTTCTATGAATTTATTACAGTAACAAAAATGTAATAGAGCAAGCATTTAAAATGTAAAGGTCACATCTAAAATGAAGGTGTGTACAATAATAATTAAGCATATGTGCTTACTGAGAATACATTACACATTGCCCTTTTAACCACTTGCCCTCCAGAGGATTTACCCTCCCCCCTCCATCCTGATCAGTCCATTTTTTGCGATATGGCACTTCTTTACTTGTAAGTGACAATTGCACGGGCATGCAACGCTGCATCCAAATGAAACTTAATGTCCTTTTTTCCAACAAATGGAGCTTTCTTTCAGTGGTAATTGATCACCTCTGTGGTTTTTATTTTTTCGCTATAAAAAAAGACTGACAATGTGGAAAAAAAACAATCTTCTTTACTTTTTGCTATAAAACCTATCCAGTGAAAAAATTGATAAAATCAAATATCATCATAAATTAAGGCCAAAATGTGTTCTGCTACATCTTTGCTAAAAAAAAATTCACAATTCATGTAAATTAATTAAATTATCTGGTTTACGTGAAAGTTATAGCATCTACAAATGGCAGTATATATACTGGAATTTTTTTTTTATACTAGTAATGGCAGGGATCAGCAACTTATAACGGCACTGCGGCGGGTATTCTGACACCGTGGGGGAACTGACTAACACTGATACAGTGATCAGTGCTAATAAAAAGCACTGACACTGTACTAATGACACTGGGCAGGAAGGGGTTAACATCTGGGGTGATCAAAGGGTAAGCTGTGTGCTGTTTTGCTATTTTGTCTGTGTGTGCTTTACTGTGTATGCACACTGCTTTGTATTACTCTGCTATGCAGAGCAATACAAAGCAGCATGCTGGTGCTGACCGGGGAGATATCTGTGTTGTTTACTTACAGACCTCTCCTCTGTCAGTGTTCCTCAGCGATCACTGGGTGCTGGCGAGGGACCTCCAGCCGGGACCCAGTGATCGACAGCTGTAGCCGGCAATGTAACGCACCCCCTATCAGGAATTACCAAATCACAAACATATATATATATATATATATATATATATATATTTGTGTGTGTGTGATTTTGTGTCGCCCTGTAGCAGTAGTTCTGCTATAGGGCGGTCAGGAAGAGGTTACGAAATAGCTGTCTCTATTTCCAAAACAAATTCAATGAGGTTTGCTTTTTCTGACTTCAGCTGTAACTTTCAGTGTCAAGTCTGATTCTGATTGGCTGTGAGGCAAAATTGACACAACAGTAAGAGTACATTCCCACTTTCGAATGCACCCGCACTCTGATTACATGTGAGAACCCCAGTGGAGGTTCTGGTGATTAGCTACAAGAGAAAGCTCCATTGAAAGTAATCTGTCAGGGACTCGGCGTCCGGGCATGATCAGTCGCTTGTAATCACTGCATGAGAGATTACATTTAATTGGCCGCTATTAGTCATGAGAGCCTACCAACTCCCGTTGCTTTTAATGGTGCGCTCTCCCACAGCTAATGGAGGGAACCCCCTCTAGTGTTCTCTTATGTAATTGGGAGTGCTGGTGATTCTCAAGTGTGAATGCACCCTAAAGAATGGAAACACACTTTCTGCAAGCAAAGGCCATCCATTTAAATGGATCTTAATGCTGGAGGCATTTCCTGGACTTTCTGACCATGAGATTTGCTGTCATTGGTCACATGATCTGGAGCCCATCCTATTGGTTCCTGCTGGTAAACTGTGACCAGGAGCTGTTGGTGACAACACGTTCACAATGCTTGGGAGCACATGTTTGAGTGCAGGCCCAGGACAAAAGAGCGACACTGGATGTATGCATATATGTGGTGGCATGGCATTCAAATCCCATTACGGTGCTGCCACATATAAGCAGCATACAGAGGACCACTGAGCAGTGGTATAACTAGAACCTTCAGGGTCCCGGTGCATAAAACCATGAAGGGCCCCTCTGAACCCCAGCCCTTCCCTCTGAGCCCAGTGGTGGAACGCCAGGTAACATGTGCGAGCTTTGTGACCCTGGTAGTTCTGCCACTGGTGACAGAACCTTTTTGTTTATTTTAACCTTTTTTTTTTTTTTTTTTTTTTTCTTTTTTTTACAATTTTTTTTTTTTAATTTTTAGGAGCCCCCTTGGGGGACATTGGTGAAACATAATGGGTCTAAACAGGCTCCTGATGTTCTACCTTTGGGACAGAGAAAAGAGATTAAGGACACATCTCCATCTCTGTCGCCTTAGCTGCACAGAATGAATGGACAGAAATAGCTCTGTACAGAGCTTCCTCTACAGTCATAAACTGAAGCATAGCAAACACAGTTTGCTATGTTTCAATTATGAATGGACAGAGCTCACTGACTCTCCATTCATAAAAGGAAGGGGGCCTCTTCCCTGCTCTCCATCCTGACAAATCCCCTGCAGCAGCCGACTGGAGAATGAGCAGTTGGGAAAGAGCACAGGGGGACGGAGAGCAGGGAGGGGGGCAGCAGAAAGAAGCTGAAAAGGAGGAGCGGTGGGAGTAGCTGCATATAGAGGAATCGATTTCTCCATTTTCTTCTTGCAGCCGCTGAATGCCTGCGGGAGGTAGAGGAGTAGAAGCCGGCATTCAGTGCCTGCAGGAAGAAAATGGAGAGATCAATTCTTCTACATGCAGCCACCCCAACCACTCCTCATCTTCAGGTGACAGGGGGGCACAGGGGCCCCCTACAGCATGGGGCCAGGTTGTAATTGTGACCCCTTTAGGTACTACTCTGCCACTGAGCTTCCTAAGAAAATTGAGGATTGTGTTCACTGGTATTTACTGTGTACCTATGTCACATCAACATAGTCCATTTAGTGTGGTCCATGCTGGAAGCATCAATAAAAGCTGCTGGAGAACATTTATACACAGATAATAGGAACTTCATGGAAACTTCTGAATAGGCAGCTATAATGTAGACTTGATGGATGTAGCTTAGTCAGTCTAACATATTTATATATATATGTATGTTGTTTTATATCCAGACATAAAAAGGATGCATAGTTTTGTTTTTTGTGTAGGTGACGGGCCTCATACAGTGACTAACTGTCTGAAATAGATGTTGGTTGAGATGAATAGAGTTTTTCCAACACGATGTTTTGAGGTTGGTCTGTACGAAGCTGAGTCACTGTAATTGCAGAAATTAGCACAATGTCCTATTAATCAACAGAACACTGGGTGTACTTGAAAGATATTTAGGAATGCATATGTGGAAACAAATTTTCCTATTATGTTTTTTTTTCCTGGAAACTGTAAGTTCAAGCATGATTTGTGTGTTTCATTGTAATCATCTCTCCATGACCGGTAATCGTTTGATGTAAAATGTGTTTGGCTGCATCATATTTGCGTATTCTACGGCGTATTGCAAAATATGTTCATAAATTTTGCCCTAGTGGTCTGATTATGTCCATATTTCTGTGCTCCAAGCGGTACCTTTTTTTGCATGGAAATATGTATTTTTTTTTATTGTAGGCCTGTAATTTTTAGGAATAACTCGCTGAAATCTGTCCGAACAAGAGTCTAGTAAACATCCTGGGTATGTTAAAATTTGAAACACGAAATCATAAATTATAATTTAATAAATAATCATAAAAAATAATATAATAAATGTAATTCAATAATATAATCAAACCAAAAACACTGAAATTTGAAATAGAGCACCAAGTTCGCACATCACTGAGCAAAGTCGCAAAATCGTTTTCAGTGTCTGATGATGAATTTCCCCACGAATCATCACTCAATTCTGCAAGTGGTTCTAATTTACTATCGCTGTTCTCTAGCTGGTCTAAAACCGATTTGACCTCAAGGGACGCTTTTTGGACTCCATGGACGTTTCTCAGTTTCCAGGCAGAAAGAACAGTAAAAATGCAGGCAGGGCACAGGACAAAGCACTAGGGACAAAATGTATGTGAAATGGTTTGATACAGTAATGTTTTACTATGTTATTGTAGTGAATTTAGTGAATGTCACTTTTTGACATTTTTTAAATTTCCCGCCGTTCCGTCCCCATACGTCCCGACGTCGCAGGGGACGGAACCCAGAAGACAGATGCCGGCATCTGCCGGAGGACATTACTGGGGACACTGCAGGAGGGATATCGCAGGACAAGGTAAGAGAAGAACAGATCCCGGAGCAGCGCTGCATGGTATTCCCGAGTGTAGCTTGGTGTTACTGCTTGTGGTGCTGAAACTTTACCTCGAGCTACACTCGGGAATACCGCCAGGGAGGCTAAAATAAAACTCGGCTGTCTTTGAGTTTTTGTGTTTACTTGCCAACAAAGCACATACAGGATGCACTGTCTTTGGTAGCATGGGGGGGGGATGTATCTGTCGTTGATCTGAAAGACCAAATCTGAAGGAGAATTCTGTGTATGGCTACTCTTAAAGATGACCTGAAGCTGTCAGAGAAAATACAGTAACCAGTCACCAGTATCATCTGTCATCTCCCTGCAACTGATCTGTTCCTCTTTACTTTTCATAGGCCGGCCATACATACAGTATATTGAAATTTGGCTGGTTCATTTCAGCCCATGTATAGGCAGGCTGATTGTACACAAGTTATTGATTGAATTGTATACAACAGGCCTTTTGGAACATTTTCTTTCAATCAACGCTGTCAGCTATAGCCAGCGGTGCTGATCTGTGTATTCTGATGGCGGGGTAGTCTCCTTATCACTTTGCAGATATACAGGAATGAGGCTGTAGGCACAGGAGTACCCGAGCACCATCACTTGACTTGAAGTGCAATTCTCTTTATCAGGAGGAATTCAAGACAAAATGGTAATTTTATAGGATACTACTTAGGCAAAAAAATAATGTTTTTATATATACCATGAAATACAGCAAATATTTTTTGAGTTTAAAAAAAAAATCCCCAATTTTCTCATTAACATTCTCTAAACACCCAGGCCACTGATACAGTGCAAACTCATTATTCACTGTCTCCAATGCTCTGAGCAATGTTAACAGTCCATCTAAAGAACTGTAGTACACAGTTGTGTCCCCAAGGATAAATGGGAGATCTGAAAAGATGAAAGCAGAGAACTTCCAGGAAAATACCAGGCTTGTTCAAAGGGTATTGGAGAAACTTTCTGTACAAAAAGGGGGCCTCCAAGTGCTTGAGGTGCATATTGTCACCCTTTTGGAGAAGAGCAGAGCTGGTGCTTGGAATCCGGTGTTTTTTGTTTGTTTTTGGGTTGTTGTTTTTTTTTTTTTTTTAACCACTTCAGCTCTGGAAGGTTTTACCCTTTTCGTGAGCAGGCAGTTTTTTTGCTATTTAGCACTGCTCTACTTTAAATGGTAATTGCGCGGTCATGCAATGCTGTACCTAAACACAATTTATCATTTTTGTCACAAAAATAGAGCTTTCTTTTGCCGGTGTTTGATCACCACTGGGTTTTTAATTTTTTATTATATATATATATATATATATAAAAATACCAAAAATAAAAAACAGTTTTGGCCTTCCTTCGTAAATTATGGCCAAAATGTATTCTGCTACTTGTCTTTTGTAAAAAAAATTAAATAAAATAAAAAATCCCAACAAGTGTATATTGATTTGAGTGAAAGTTTTGGTATATATACTACTAATGATGGTGATCAGTGACTTATGACAAGTGACATGAATACAGTGATCAGTAATACTATACACTGTCACTGTACTACTGACACTGGTTGGGAAGGGGTAATCCAGGGGTTAAGTGTGCCTAACAAGTGTGAATGCGTGTATTATGTGCTGCTTTTTACTAAAAATCTTTGTTGCTTCTCCCTTCTTTATAGGGAGAAGAAACAAAGAGATCATTCCCTCTGTACAGAGCCCTATGTTGATTGTGAATACAGGGCTCTGGGCTGTGATTGGACACAGCTGATCAGGTCCTGGCCATTGATCATTGGCTGGGATCTGCTGACAAATTCCCAGTGTGTACAATCAAAGCAGGAGTCGGCGGGTGGGGGCACACACACCCTGTACCCAGAAGAGGCCAGCTACGTACAAGTATGTTGCTGTGCCTGTACGGGCTGCCAGTTCGCAGTCTATCCTGCAGTAGGTAATTATTATGCTGTCAATGGCTGCCTTCAAACAGCTGCCTAAAGCATACCTTCCAATGTTCTGATATTTGGAAAAAGTATGTCGGCAGCCCTACGACACCCCCGTTACATAGAGAAATAATACACAAAAATTATTTGGTTAAATCCATAATATTGTTTTTTACCTCCTACTATTCCTTTTATATTGGCTTTTTAAAATTTACAAAAGCAACAATTTATAAATTTGGATGGAACGTTTAACACTGTAAAACATTATTTGGTAGATGTAAATTCTCTTTTATAAGAGTATACATGAGACCAAAATGAGGGATAAATGAGAAGAGGGACAAAAGGACTTTGTTCCTAAAGAGGGACAGCCCCTGCATATCCGGTACACTTGGGAACTATGACATCATGGCTTTAAATTTTGAGTGCCACTTGAGCCCAATAGCATGTATCCTTATGGAGGGATTTTCCAGTTTGTTGGAACATTTCCTTGCTAGTAGGCCTAGTATGTGCCCCAGTTGTGTTAAAGAGTGAAGGATCCAAAGTACTGAACATGAACTGCTATCAGACGTATGCCCCGTACACACAATAAGAAAATCGTACAAAAAAATTTTGCAGAACCACTGATCGAACAATTTTCTCTTCGTTGATGAGCAGGATGCTTTAACCGATAACGATATTGTGAACGAAAAAATCCGGTTGAACAGCAGTGAAAAATGTAGTTGTTTTGCATTCGAACGACCGATTTTCTATGCGGTGGTATGGCGGTCGTACGAAAAAAAAATCTATCAAGCGCTATCACGCATGAGAGGAAACAGAAGATGACCTGGATGTTTATGTCCAAGGAATCTTCGTAAACATGAACGAAAAATCCAAATATTAAAAGTAGATTGACCCATTGAGATAATGAAACCAGAATTCTGCATATTATATTTTATATATCACTATTTATGGATATAGGTCATGTAATAAAACTATATTATACTCATTGCTGGTAATTGTGTATTTCGCTCGTTCTGGCCGGAAGGGCGTGGCTACAAGATTATTATTACATCGAGTTTATATAGCGCCAAAGGGTTTGCTCAGCGCTGTACAATATAGAGGGGACAATACATGGCACAGTACAACAATAACAAACAACAGAGGGGGGTGGCAGAGGTGGAGCGGTTGGTGAGGTGGATGAGTCTAGCAGCTGAGTTCAGAGATCACACACACACACTACATCACTTCCACTTCAACACTACGTATTGTCCGACGAACGATTTTTATTTTAGATTGGTTAATGTGGGCCACGATTTCGACCAACGAACGATCGCCTCTCGGTCGGCGGATGACCGATCAGTCGTTTTTCTAATTGTGTATTCCCACCTTTGGTAAGGATCCCTTTGGGTTCTTGTGTGAGAATGGCCACATATCTATATTGTAAGCTCCAAGGAGCAGGGCCCTCCTATCTCTCTTGTATTGAACTGTATTTTCTCCCTTTATATTGTAAAGCGCTGAGAAAACTGTTGGCGCTATATAAATCCTGTATAATAATAATAATAATCTCTTGTTTTTCTTGTGGGGTTATTTTGCGGTCTATAGCCGTACCTTGTCTACCTGCCCCTACACCATGCAGGAGATGCAAAAACAAATGTAAAGTATTTTGTGTGATCACATTAAACCGTGAATACTGTTGGAATTGGCATTCTTTTCACTAACAAAATGCTCCAGGAGAACTGGATAAAACTCGGTGAAAAGTGAAAGCCCCCTTTAAGGCACGATCAAGTTTCTAATCCAAGGAGACTTCCATTGGTGAAGTGGCTGTAAACTCAGGACAAATGGTGTTCTTTGTGAGGCTGAGAATGGATGTTGCTGTTTGAGTTTTCCATAAATGAGTGAAAGCGAGCTGTAAGAAGTCGTCGTGATTGTGGTGTCTCTGTGTATTTATTGTAGCAGGCAGAATAATAATGCCGCAGCAGGGACAGGGAGAACGGCGCTGAGCGCTGAAATACGTGAGGTCATAGAGCTGATTTATAAGTAAAGCAGGGGAACGCTGATATTTAATTACAACGCTCAATTACCAAAAGAAGGCCCAGAGGCACAAACACTGTGTCAGACACTCCACAGAGCTCCACTCTAGATTTAATAGCTACATAAGCCATGGCTGAGGTGGACGAGCAGACCATTATCATGTTACAAAAGCTGATATATTTTTAAATATTAACAGGTCATCGTGTGATTGCAGCAAGAACCTGGCTCTCCAGAGGTCACAGGCATTAAAAAACAGATGAGATCTTTAATAAGATGGAAGCGTCAAGTTACAGTATCTGCTCCCCTCGGTATTAGACAGCTGAAGAGAACTGCATGAAGGTTAGACAATTAGAGAGGAAACAGCAGGGAGCGCCAGAGAGCCGGGATCAGCTCATAGCACAGTCATTAGAACCTTATCATGACCCTTACTTTTATATATTCACACTGTAAAATCTGCAGAATTAATAGGTGGGAGGGGGGGAGATAATTTAAATTATTGGGTAGATTTTTTTTTTTTTTTTTTTTAAGAAACTTTGCTAACTGTGGTGAATTTCTTTCAAAACTGCTCATTTCTGCAATCACAAAACCAGTAATTGGTAAGATATATTAAATAGAAAAAAATAAAAAAATCCCATGAGCTACACAGTACATTTTCATAAAATAAACCTGTGCGTTGGCCACCACAGAACCTTGTTATCCGACTCCATTAAATATAGAATGGGTTTATATTATAGGTTTTTTTTATTCACACTCAAGGGCAGTTCTTCACCTCTGACTTCTAACTCTGTGTCCAGAGTCCTTCCTAGACAAGTGAATTGTGCTAATTATAGGAGAAAGATAAAAATCTTTTATAAATAAGCTTGCAGAATTAGGATAGTTTAAAGCACAACTCCAGCCAAATTTTTCTTTTTTTTTATAGTGGTAGTAAAGTCCTAAAAGAACAACAGAAAAAAAAAAAAAAAAAAAAAAAAAAAAATATATATATATATATATATATATATATATATATATATATATTAACATACTAGCACATTACAGTGGTAGTAAAGTCCTAAAAAAAAATATATATATATATATATATATATATATATATATATATATATATATATAAAATATAATGTAACATACTAGCACATAGTGGCATACTTTCCTTTATAACGAAGCCCTCCAGCAGCATGCTGTCACCACTGCCAG